GGGGAGGGGGGATAGCTGGAAGTGGCTAATTAACTCGCCTGCCTGTACCCCAAATCTCGATCCAAATCAGGGTAAAGAGAGAGACAGTCAAATTACGTAGGCGCCCAGCCATGTGGTGCTGCTTCAGCTGGGTGTCTTGTCTGCAAGGCTGGTTACAAAAACGCAAGGCGAATCTGAATCTGGGATGAAGGCAGCAGCAATCAATTAAGGTTTCTCCGTAAGCGATATCCGATCCAGCACTTCAGCTCAATGCGATGATACATGTCCATACGAGTACAGATAGTACTTCGGTGGTATGGACGGTACTGGACTTGCTTGTTTGAGAACTTGTCGAGGGTTTCGATAGGCGTTGGATTGCTTTCTACTAGTCAGGGTAAAAGGCGGAGTGATCGGTTGTAATCGAGCCATCAATCACCATGCAGCCAGCGCCCGATCATTCCCGGTTCTAGGCAAAAAAGATAGGTCGAGCCCATCAAGGCAGCAGGGTAGCAACAGGGGTAGATCATGGGCTGTCTCTCCGTAGTATTTTGCAAACGCAGGACATGTTACGGTTTGTTTGTAACAATGTTCGGATACGTGGTCTGTGAAAGGGGCCGTGAGATTGATTATCATAATCGATCTGCCAGACCGACTTTCTGCCTCCGTATGTAAGATGATCAGCTCAGCTTATCTCCAGACAAAAGTACCCTTGCCAATGGACAACTCATTGTGATCGGCATGGTATTCTAGAACACTGAATGCGAGGCCTATTGACCAAAAAAAGGGATTCGATATAGGTTAGTAATGCACACCTATGAGCATGCCTTTTATGCACTCCTGGTGACATGAGTCATATCCGCGACTTCTGCGCATGTCCAGTCTACTCGAAAAGCACATGGCCTATAACGGACCTGGTTTGCTGCGGACAATACTTACAGTACCTTCCAAGCTAGCTTCATCGCCCCCGGCGATAAGGTCCGGAGTATGAGCAACAAGTTTGGCAGAGTCCGGATACCCGGATACCAAATCCAATGAGTACTTCTATCGAATGATTTTGACTGCATCAAACGATCCGGCCTACCATGGTTGGCTACAGCAAAACTCCGGGATAGGCGCAACAACCCCTCAACTCGAAAGGCGGGAAATTAGCTCACATGGTGTCTCGGATATGCCGGGGTCCTTGTCCGAATAGAACTCGTGAGTCTTTCTAGAGAGAGATGCCATCATCACATGAGAGGATCTTGAACCAAGAAAGCAAACAATCCGTGATAGTTATAGCCGGTTATAGTGCCAGCGCTCAGACCTCGACCAAGAACCTTCTAAAGAGCTGGTTCATTTACATAAGTTGCAAGGCTAATGGTATTGACAGTTATGACAAGAAACTGAATGAAGAAGGGAAAGAAAGAAAGAAACATCCTTTCCATGCTGGTATAAATCACCGAACCCCAAACCTAAAAAGGATACCCAGGTACAGTACAGTACACACATATCCGACACCCACTGAGGGCTAGAAGAAAAATACCATATATCTAGAGCTTTTGGCACAGTGCGGGTTTGGTCCATAGAACCGCTGCACTCACTGAGCCCATCTCACTCACCCCCCACCTTCCGCAGTCGTTCGCATACCCATATTCAATCGTCGCAACTCATTCGATCATCAAGCATTCAAATAAAAGGGATAAAGATAGAGTTATCACTTTACCGCCGGCCGTACACGGTCATACCCGAACAGGCTGGACTGGCATGATCCGACGCTTGCCCGTTCGTGGTGACAAGGGCAGCGGCTGCAGATTTGAGTAGCAGCAACCTTTGTCCTGTTTCCGCAACGCGCGCACCATGCTTAAACCTGCTCAGCGCCCCAACCCTGGTCGGTCTCGCGCATGTTGGACGGAGGCTCGATGGAGGGAATGAACTCCAGGGCAATGTACCCCAGACCGATGAAGCCGACGATGGAGCCCGCAATATAGCGCAGGACGTTGTCGTGCAACATGATCGACCCGACGAAGATGTAGACTGGTTCCTGATATTAGCGCAAACATATACAAAGATTTTATCTCCAACGCAGCGCAAACTTACAGCCACCGCGTCCCAGGAAGGAGAAAAGGAAGGACGCGTAGCGGTAGACGTAGTCGGGGACGTTGGGCAGGAATTCCAATCCACCAACAACTGAGCATCGCGGTCAGTCTCGCCCTATTGCATGGTGGTGATGGTATGAAACTCACGAAGACCAAAAATAATCACATAGACGCCGACAATGATGGAGCTCATGGACGCAGGGAAGAACTGGGAAATACCACCCAGGACCATGAGCACACCAACGACGATGTTAACGATTCGGCTGGGTGTAAGAGTCTCATTAGCTGCTGTGCTTGCGGTGATGACGATGATGGAGTTTGGAAACAGGTCCGACGTACAAGATGTTGGAGAGATCCATTTTCGCGATTGGGTCGACGCAACTGCGTATATACTCGATGGTGGTGAAGCTTTCGTTCCGGTGGCAGAAGTAGCCGAGTAAAGTCGGGAAGAGGGAAGAGTGTCTAAAAAGCAATCACGTAAGTTGGAATTCAACGCTCAGGCGAAGCTGGCAGCGGCGGAGACGAGCTGCTGTCGCCTATCAGGCTGGATGGAAGATAGTTGTGCCAGTGAGCTTGACTCCAACCCGCAGCCAGCAATATCATAGGAAATCCAGACTCACCTTTGGAACTAGGGGTTCTGAGTAGGCAGCAGCAAGGAGGTGAAGGAGACGGAGAGTGCGGAAGGGGAATCGGAGAGATGGTTGAGGCTTAAGCTCTCCCGAGTTGTCGCGCTGTCGCAAGCTGCGGGTCCGCCAAGGCCAACCTTACCCATGACTCAGCAATCGCCGGATCTGATCGCATCCACGCGAGATTGCAACCAGGTCATGTTTGGTCGTGGGAAATCATCTCTACCAGCTGTTTTTGTCAGTAATTGCTGGCTCATGTTGGCAAGAATATCATTTCTTTAAATAAGGCTCGCATGCACATCTGTCTGTCACTACTCCGTACTCAATGCCTAAAGGACTCACAACTTATCAGGAGTTTAGAACAGTCGGGCGTCGCTACAGCCGTCGACGTCATACCTCACGCTAGGTTGCCATGATATCCGCTTTGTGAGATGACAGGGCGTTTTCAGATTCCATGCGTCAAATATCTGATAACTAAACAATCTCTGCAGGCGCTGTACAACGGTGAAGCCACAGTATCTGTGATACATGACAGACCCGGTCTTCTAATACTACTGCAAAGCTCAAAGCATATCAAGCCATATTTCTCGCCCAGTGGACGCGTACACAAATCGTGCAAGCACAGCCAGGTACAGTACAGTAGACATTCACGACGCCATGATATCACCCTGCTTCCTCTCAAGCCTAACATTAGACAGTCCGTTAGCCAGACGGCTCATACTCACACAGTCGCGCCCCAGCTCCGCATAGATCGCCTCCAAGTCCGTGCCCAGTCCGACCTTATCGGCCGTCTCCAGACTGCGCCCGTCCAGGAACGGGGCCATCGAGGGCCAGACGCTCTGGACGTTGTTGAGGAAGAGATCCGCCCCTAGATCCCCGAGACCCTTGATCTCTTTAATGAGCTGTCGGGTCTTCTTCCGGTCGTTATTCGCTTTCTTCAACAGGTTGTTGAGATCACCCTCTAATGTGCCTTTAGCTTAGCTCAAGGCAAAATCATCACCCAGATGCGACTCGAGGAGCGCAAAACATACCATACTTATCATTGATCAACTCCACCATTTCCCCTAAATTCGTCGCCCCTTGCTCTCGATACCGATTGTAGCCACCATCCTTCAGGGCCATCGCCCGCTCCTCCCAACTACTTTCGCTCAGCTTGCGGATATCATGGAACCCAACCTCAATGAGATGGTTGACTGCGCGCTGCGAAAGGTCATGGGAGATCGGACGCGACTTAAGCATTGCATCGATGACCATCGCAAGCAGTGTCTCTGGCGAGCTGTGCAGGGTCCCCTTCGCGATTGTTGTCCCGTAGAGCGGAAGACACCCGTAGTCGTGGACCGCTTTTTGCAGCTTCGGCTTGCTGATCGTTGTAGGGCTTTGTGGTTCTTCGGGAGTGGGCTCTTCTGATTCATCCTTTTCTTGATCAGCCTCCTCCTCCTCCTCCTCTTCTTCTAATTCATCACCCTCATCATCCTGCTCCAAAGCACCATCCTCATCCTCCTCGTCATCAAGACTCTCAACCTGCCCATCATACCCATCATCATCCTCCTCTCCCGCCACACCCTCGATCATCTCCTCCTCAGCACCATCCCCTTTCCTCGCATCTTTCTTAACAACCTTGCTAGGCGGCTGGTCACCTTCCCGCTCAACGTCAGCGCTAGCCTGTCCAGCGCCCGACTCATCACTGAGATCCCTCTGATCGAATTTGCGCTTCGGGGGGATGCTGGGCGTGGCGTCCTCCGTTTCGGGATAGTCCTCCACCTGCGGGGATTTGTACTTCATTTCGGCGGCCTAAACCCTAGATATTCACTAAATTGAAACAATAGAAAGAGTATTTTGTTTAGTTCGAAGTAGGAGAGGAACGTGCGTGATATCCCAACAAGGCTAAGTATACAGATTGTTTTGGTCAAAAGCATTCGTCTTTACTTACGAGTAGTCTGGGGAAATCGTATGATTCCTCCGCGTGCGATGATGGCGTCATCATGAAATAAGAACTTCCCCGGTTCAACCCACCTCCGCCCCGGGCGGACCTATTCGCTATCAGATATGTTGTTCCGGAGCAAAAGCGGAAGCTTGGCACTTTCGTGAATACGATCTATGGTCTTTAATTGCTAGATCCACAGATGCTTTGAGCTTGGATCTACATGCAAACATGCAAGTATATACACAGAAAGCCCATCGCAAGTACTCGCATAAGTAAACTAAAGCTTGGCGCGGCTGGACAAAGAGCTCTGCACCAGGCGGACCGCCTCCTCCGCGCAGCCGAACGAGGCCTGGTACCCGAACCCGCCATGACCGTAGTTGTGGACGACGGCGACGCCGTCGATGCGCTCGGCGGCGACGCGGGGCCCGCCCTCGCGGAGGGGCCGCAGGCCGACGCCGTGGCGGATGACGTCCAGGCCTTCGATGCCCTGGCCGTCGCGCACCAGGGCGGGGCACAGCGCGACGGCGCGCTTCATGATGCGTACGGCCAGGTTGGGGTCCGGCAGGGGATCCCACTGGTGCTTCTGGTAGGAGCCGCCGATGACGGTGCCGCCGCCCGCGGCGCGCGTCATCACGTAGACGACCTCGTCCTCGCCGTCGTCGGAGCCCGAAATCGACACCATCTGGCCCGGGTCGTTGCGCACCACGACGATCTGCCCGCGCGCTGGGTAGAGCTTGGCGTCCTGGACGCCGCCGAGCGTGCGGGACGCGAGCCCCGTGCAGTTCACGACTACGTCGGGTTTGTGGCCCGTGTGGTGGTGTGGAGTGCTAGCGGCGTCGGTGATGTGCTTGAGGACGGCGCGCTTGAAGACCACCCCGTTGCGGCGGCATTGGCCCACTAGCCAGGGGAGGTAGATTGCCGTGTTGATGCAGACGGAGGTGAATTTGGAGGCGTTGTCGATGCCCGGGGCTAGTTGGTCGGTGGGGATCTCTTGGAACTGGTCCGGGTCTGTTAGCTTGGGTTGTGTGGAGGGAATTGGGGCGGGTTCAAGGGTACACACGTCCGGCACAACATCCTTATACCAGGGGTTCCTTTGCACCAGCTCGGAGAACCAGTCCCCAGTTGCGGATCCTTGGTCTTTGGTGCGGTTGTAGACGATTGTTTCTGAAGGCTAGTTAACTCCAATGGCAGGATGGGAAGGTGGATAAGTGATATTCATACCTTGGAAATGAATTCCAGCCTCGGGATGCTTCTCGGTCAGCTCCTTCAATGCTGGCCAGGTGTTGCGCTCCCATTTCTCATGGTCACTTCCACGCTTGCCCACACTGACATATGAATCAGTAAGCCGCACTCCATTGCCATCATCATTCTTTGCGAAGGAACGTACGGGAGATAATTGGCCCCAGCCCACGGGGAGGCATATTCTATATCATAGTCGCCAGGCATATGCTTCGCGAGGACGGTGATACTATTCGAGGGGTCCTTCGAAAGAAGATACGCAGTGGTCAAACCAGACACACCGGCTCTGAGACCAGAGATCAGTATGAGCTCCGCAGACAACAGGCGGGGTCAAGCATACCCCAGAACCACGATCTTGTTTGTCGCCATTGAAACTGCTACTGTTGAGTGGTGAGTCTATCGAGTCAATAGAAGGCGTATCCCAAGGGAGGATTACGAGAGTAGGCTGGTAAATAGGCTGATTATTTAGTTGCTGTGAGTCAGTCCACTAAGGAATGATAACGCTTCCCCTGCACAAACAGAGCTTATCGCATGCGGGCAATTGGGATGCGGTCCGGATTGATAAGAGAGAGCCACCCCCGCTCAGCCGGGGACTAACTAAGACTGGGGGGCTTCCCGCCAAGCCGGAATGCGACAACCCCGTCCTCAGGCATCAAGACTGGATAGGATGGGATAGGATGTCTGTTCCTTGACCATTGCCAATGGGATCCTTAGGCGGCACGCACTCAATCGCGTTGACGTCATATTTCGAGAAAGATTGCAGAACGCGAGCACAATCTTTCTCCTGCCAATAATCTTAGGATAGGATGTGACTACTGGATCGAAGGCTTGAAGCACAGGCAGGGTCCGTTCAAAATAGCCCCGAGCTCCACTAGATCAATTGGCAGCACTACCATTGGAGTCCGATCACGGAACGAGTGGACAGCCGTCTTCGCCGAAAAGCAATGAAGTCAATCTGGTCAGCGAAGCAGCGTGACACCTACTGCCATCGATCTGGCAACAATACGCCCAGGAACGGAGCCATTGACTCGCTGACAGCTCACGTCCATGTTGTGCAGTTAGATCCGTGTTCTGCAGCCTTGCTACTCCGGACATCCAAGCCCTTGCCAATAGACCGTCTGACAGGTCACTTCATGCACAAACAGCGCAGAAGGATCCAATAGCGGAGTCGCGTCGGGGGGCGATCGCGGTTTAACCGTTTAATGTGAATTGGGCGGTGTGTTTTGAGTGCTTGAGTGCTAAAGTGCTTTCTTCAAGATCTCCCTCCTAGATCAAGGGCAGTGCACTCCAATTCATCACTCTTGGTGGATTGTGGGATCGGTTTTGAGGATGAATGAAGCGCGCAATCCATGGACGAACGTGGTAAGTTACAGTAAGGAACGCGTCCTCATTTGATGGACTCGGAGAGTGTTGTGGGGAGGGGACAGTGTGTAAGGATTGATTACCGATCTGCAGAGCCCGTTACCGATAGGGTCTTTCAGGCCTCCGGGCATTGAAAGTGGGCAGACAGTCTGAATGAGGTGGCTTCCCCTCATTGAAGAGAGGTGAATATGTTCTCAACAGGAAGCTTGGAACAATGGCATGGCTCTGACCGATTCAATGTTGGGCTGGAGTGACCGCTCCCCGCGGATGCGCAAAAAGACTCGATTGAAGGAGAGTACTACTAGGTAAGTAGGTAACCACCTAGTAATAGCTCTGTATACCTTTCGTCATCGACTACTACCGCCCCCGTGAATGACCCAATCATGAGTTGATTATTAGCTTACCGCCTCTGATCCCGGAGCGTAATGAAAAAAACCCTTGGTAAGAGGGATGTACGAGCATAACAGACGCCTCCTCCGCAGTTCGCCGTCCGAAAAGAAAAGTCTCGCGTGTACTCCCGTAGATCGTGTGTGTTGCTTTTCTTCCTCCCGCCTTTTCTTCCTTCCCATTTACCACTCTCTACTTTATTCCTTGCCTGAATAACACTTCCTTCCCTTCCCCCCCCTCCCCCTCTCCCTCCTCATTTATATTCATAGTGACTATTTTTCTCCTCTCTCTCCCCCTCCCCACATTCTTCATCTCTTATCTTCTCTCTCTGCTCGACGAACCTCTCTGTATCTTGTTGTTCGTTCCCCAAATGAGTGCATCTCGTCGAGCAGACACTATAACCAACTATGGCGGACGTTCCGAACGGTGGCAGAATTGTGCCCATAGTCGCGGCCCCCCGTCAGCATTATTCCAGTACTCCCGCCGTTGAGTCGGTGGGTAATCAACCTCAACCCCAACCAAAGCCCTCCAAATCCTCTAGAAGTACGCGCCAAAAGGCCGCCGAGGCCGAATGCTTGGAGATTCCGTGTCTCAACGAGCTAGGGCTCTATGCGCTCCCGACCGAGGGCGACGGTACGTTGCTCTTTGCCCGCCATTGGCCAGCTAGCTTGTCCCTTGGCGCTCCTACTCTAGTGTGCCCTGTTTTCTGACCGTCAATTGTAGGCAATTGCCTGTACTATGCCCTTTCCGATCAATTGTACGGCGACTTCCTCCACGCTGACCAAATCCGTGTTCGTCTCGCGGATCACATCTTGGCCAACAAGGATTACTTCATGAGTTTTATAGCTGCTGCTGGCGGAGAACGCAGGGCACCACGCCGCGCAGCAGCCAAAGCAGCCAGACAAACCTATTGCTCCTCGTCATCAGCCAGTCCCGCGCCCCTCTCGGCCCGGGATAAGGAGCGTAGCTTCGACACTAGAGTGGCTGAATCGCGAAAGAAAGGCGTCTGGGGTGGCGCTGAAGAGATTCAGGCATTCTGCCAATCTTTCAAGAGGGATGTGGACGTCTACACGATGTATGGAATTCAGAACTTCCGTGATGTTCACGCACCCGTCGATGAACACAGAGAGAAAGTGCACATCGCATTTCACGTAAGTAACACAAACACTGTGGCGTAGGTGACGTTCTAACCCTCCGCGTAGGATTTTCATCATTATTCGTCGGTCCGACATACGAGCGGGCCGCATACTGGACCACCTTCTATAGCACCCATTGACAAGGAGCGTCAGGAGGAAGCTTCTTCCGCCAGCTCGACTGTCGTGGACGTGGCCACCCCATGGAAAATTTCGGCCATCCAGGAGGGTCTCGGGGGCAAATACGACCGCGAGACCATTGTAGGCATGCTGCAACAGTGCCGTGGTAACATCGACCGGGCTTTTATCAACCTGATCGGTGAAGACGCCAACTGTAGCGAAGCAGATGCGCCCACCTCGAAGGCTATTATGAAGTCGCGCCTGCAGCCGTCTTCGCGATCTTCGTCTCCATTCAGTACGGGCAGCAAACGCTCCGCGGATGAAAGCGAAGTTGAAGAGAACCCCCGGCCGGCCGTTCGGCGCACGCGGGCTCGGGAGAATAAACGACGCATTCTTCCCGATGTGACCGTCGGAATTGCCTTCAGAGATAATCAGAACGATCTTGTTTCTCTGCGACTGCGGGTTAGTCCTGACACAGTTGCACCCAAGAAGCAGTCCACCGGCAGCACGACCCCCGAGCGAACTGAAACTAGTTCCTCCTCGGAGCCAGCCAGCGACGGCACCGACTCTTCGAAGAAGGACCCCAAGCTCAAGATTAAGTTCCGAACGGCAGCTTCCGCTCCTACAGAATCCGCTAGTCGACAGCCGACTGAACCTAGTGAAGAGCCCAAGGCCACGCTGCGACGAAGCATACGACTGTCAAAAAGTCGCAACGCCCCCAGGGCCGGTTAAGATCAACCACACGCACCTCATACCATTTGCCAAACCCTGTTCAAAATTAGCAGAGTGTTACCACTCACGCATACGAAGCTAACGACCACCATTTACTTTCTCGATACATGGCACCATTTTCTGGCTATTGCATTATCAAGCGCGTTGGGTGTTTGGGGCCTTTTAGAGCGTTGGGCCCTTGCTTACTTTTTCTTCTTCACCATACCCTCCTGCATACCTGTATATTTGCATATGAGTGCTTCATGCATGTTACTAGCGACGCGACTAGACCTTGTTCATGGTTCTATCATTCACCACCACCACCATCATCATCATCATCCTCCTCATCTTCTTTATACCTCATATCAGACAAGATCTTCGGAAGAAGTCCGACTTTTTGAACTATTTATGATACCACTATACTGCAATGATTCGATACATTACCTCCGCCAGACGGACACGTGCATAAATCTCCGCTGCCTCTCTCCGCAGTGTGACCCGCAATGAACATAACCTCTCCGCCTTGGTCTTCATCATCAGGTGTTTTCAGGGCGCCCTGACCGGGCATTTCTCTTGTACTTGATATCCCCAAACTAGCAAAAGATGACGAAACTTGCATACACTTGTGGTGAAGACTAAAGGAACGATGCATGATGCATCATGGAGGAAATCTGAAGAATTGCTTACTTTCCAGCTTGCGTGGCCTTGACTTGCTCGGCAGTTTGCTTGATATCCTCCAAGAGCACTGATTTACGTAGGATCAAAACAAAAATATAGACAAACACACAAGCATTCTTGACCGAAAAAAAGACAACCCCATCAAACAAACCCCTGATCCCTCGAGCGGATAACTCCTGCGCATAGATCGTAGCCCGAGGAAGAAATGCTCACTGTACTGTGTTTGATGCACAACCACAACATATCCTATTCATAGGCAGTGCCGTGCTTCACTGTACTTATCTGTTTCATCCTCATCGAAGATAGAGGGGGCAAATCGCCCGTAATCTGCAGTGTGTATACATTTACCATGGTTATCCCGCAAGCACAGTAACAGCGTGCTCGGGTGTTAACGCACTGATCCACGCGATCATCGAGCTCGAGGGTAAATGTATCGAGCTTGTTATGCCCCTCTTACACTACAGTGCATTATCAATGATAGAAGAACGGGGTTAGTCGGTATTCGCGGTCTCGAACGTTACAGGGAAAGCGGAATTGAGTAAGGGAATATCGAATATCGAAACATTGGACATCGAATATCGAATATCGAGAAGGAACCTGGACCCGGAAATAAAGGTTCCCTGGATAGAGAGTGGACATAGAATACTCAGTCTTGTTAGGTTATAATTAGTATATCAGTCTAAAGTGGTTAGAGCTTAGTTAGCTTAGCTTAGCCTAGCCTAGCCTAGCTTACCTCCGCGCTTGCAAAGGCCCTCTATCTATTTATAAATGAACTTCGACACTGGCGGGAGCATCCGCATCCTTCCTTCCTAGACTGCGTTGGGGAGCTGGGGATAAGGGTTACGCTGTGGCATGGTACGGATAGTGGTGGGTTGGTGGGTAGAGATAGGTATCGCTCGGTTAGAGACCTGCTACGACGAATGGGGACTGAGCTGGATCAAAACAAACGACTGAAAAAGTCTGCCGATGCCTCAGTCTACACCTGCTAGAAAGTAGCTGTACCCTGAATAGCAGATAACGTTGAGCGTGGACCTATCTACAGTCCAATAACATCTTTTGAGTCGACCATGAGCCTCGTGTACAGTACTGGGTCTGGTGACCGTCCTCTGCAAGCAACGGAATAAAACAATTCAATAGGTTCATGATAGTTCGTTAGCGATTAGCCTTCTATGCATTAGCAATATACAAGATCTCTCGGCGGCTGACCGGCACAGAAATATAGTAAGAAAGAAGCGCGGGGGTATATGTGAGACAGTAAAAGAGAAGTGATGGGTAGGCAAGTCCGGAGATCCGAGGTTCGGAAACGTAGTAAGACAAAAAGATCGTTAGGGTAAGCGAAAGTGATAGTAAAGCATAGATCGTTATACATCCACCACCAAGCGGCGCTGGCTGGTGGATTCGCCGTGATGCGACGACTCCTGGATCATCTCCGTCCGCACTTCAATGCCGCCAAAGGCACCGCCGGCTGCGCCGACATGGCTGGCCTCGCCGGACTTGACGTCGATGGTGTACATGTCGTAGTCGCGGTCCTGGGAGTAAAGCTCGACCTTGTGGCGATGGGACTGCGCGGTCATGCGGGTGGCGGTCATGCGGCTGACAGACACGGTGGGATTGCGCGTGTAGCGGTTGTAGCTGTTGGTGGACAGGAACTTGGGGAAGAGGCGGCTGACGATGGGGCGAAGGAAGGGCAGGCACGCGCAGATGATGGCGACGTTGCATTCTGCGGCGGTCCAGTAGGCGGCGCCGACATTGCTCCCTGGTTGATGATGGTTGTCAGCAAGGAAAGTGATGCCAGGTCGATAGAAGGGGACTACTCACAGGAAGTGTCACTGCTCTGGGCGACAGAACGCAACGAGGAGAGACGTAAGATACTAGTGATAACGACTCTATACAATGGGTTAGCCACAAACTCAGAACTGGATTGGTAGGTTGGAAGACACGCACAGTCCACCAATAGCGAAAACACCCATGAGCGCTAACTTCTGCGCGCGCGGAAGCTGCAGTTGCGACAAAAGAGGCATCGGCAACACCAGCAACGTCACGTCGGTGGCGATGTTCATAGAGGCGTTGAAGAACCAGACCGCTTCGAAATTGAGACAGTACCCCGAAACAGTGCGATCCCAGAATCTGGAGACCGGCACGCAGTTCAAGAAGCCGCTGACGACCGCCCACGTTCCATAGGCAGCCACGATGCCTAGCACAACGTAACAGGCCAGTCGAAAACGGCGGTCGGGGAAAATCCGCAAGTATTGGAAGAGAATGGAGAACTTGGTGAAGATCAGACTGGCGTTATAGAAGGGGATCGCAGCCCATAGTCGCTAAGAAACCAATCGTTAGTTATTAGTTCTGTCTGCGTGGCACGCTCAAGAGTTTTACCTTCAGCTGCTCCTTCAGAACACGATCTGGAAGCTGGGAAGAGTGTATCCCAAGTCCGAAGCGTACCTCTGGAGTATATTAGATGGGAGTCGCTCGGTGTGACAAGCTCTGAGGTCTTACCAGCACCAACCAGGCCAAGGTATGTACACGCCAGTATCTGCCAGGTGCATGTCAGTAAATGTCCGAACTCTAATCATGTCCAGAGAGGCATACCAGAGATATGAGAATCATGTAATCCTCGCGACCCTTCAGTTTCATCAAACCGAGACGCGCATACATCCGCATAGCGACAATAACAACCGAAAAGCCGGTGAGCACGGCTGTCACCACCAGTGCTCGCTGACCACGTTCTGCACCATCTCCCGATATCCTGGGAAACAGAAGATGTTCTCTGATTATGTCCATATTGGTTTGATAGTGGTTATTGGAGGGAGTGAATCGAGTAGGTAGGGCCGTGGGGGTGTGGGCTGTAAGAAAAGAGCGTATCTCTGAGTATAGATGGCTGTGGCGCCCGCTTGCTGAATGTCCGCCGAGGTGAAAGTAGGATGCCCTCTCCAGGTTTCGCAACCTAGATATCAAGATGAGGTAGACCGCATGGGTTCAATTGGAGATCAATGGGGTTAAAAGAGAGTGGGTGGGTTGGTCGAAGCGTCTGCAGTAGAGTTTAGTTGGAAGGAACCGGTGCGGTAACGACATGGCTTTTATTTGTACAGTCCCTTTTACTACTGGGCCTATGGAGACGATCCCCGCACTGGCTCAAAGTTTGATAGTACTCAATAGCGTAAGAGAAGCTGAAAGAGGGCTAATGGGCAGCATGGTTCCTTGTCGAGGGAACGACCTGAGCTGGGTCTTGTCCGGGATGTGGTTAGGAGCTGAGGGGGGGTGCCATTCAGATTGTAGTAATGATCTATGCGACTAAGCCGTCGGGCTCCACCGGTGTCGTGGGCAAGGTGGAGGAAGGCACGAGGTTCGCAGAGAAAATTAGTCAATGGCGATGCGTATTTAGCAGCAGACCCAGAATCGATGGCTCTCTGGCACCTTCCGCCCTGTCAACTGGTGCCTCGTTCCGGGCTTCGATCCATGGAACGTCGCCATAGTCTTACTCGACTCTCTTGTATAACTGCCCTGTGCGGTTTAGTGCTGCTCGGCAAGTGTTGTGCGGTCAACAGAGAGTGTACATGAGAGGCCAAGTCTCCGCTCCACAGAGAGAAAAAATCTGACGATTATGCTCGTTTCAAGTTGAATGTCGGTATGTTGAGTATACGACCATCAATCTAAACAAATTCGAGGTCGATTCCTCGCCTAATCTCAACTAGAAGGTCAGTTGGGGATCGATATTCTTCATCGCATCTTAAGCAAGTCTTCCACACTATCCTTGCTCTGAATATTAATGCATGATTCATGTGCTTGGTTTCAGATCGCGGCACGAATCATAATACCCGATCGCGCCGGTGTGGATTTGGCATGCCTGGCAAGAGAGTTTTCTCCTACTGCAAGCTAAAGCGGTATGATCGTGCGCCTGCACTTGCTCGTGGTCAGAACTAGTCTTCCAAATTATGACCAGTCAGAAATCCTAGAGGTGGAGTGTTTGACGAGTGGCGATATTTAATTTTCTCTTCAAGACGAGGACTCTGCTTGAATCTCAACCATAAGAAGGGTCTAGTCCGGCCAACAGTGCTAATAATTTTCGCTTATCAACAACAATGCTATGCACCCGGTCTATCCAAGGCCGACCGCAAAGTTGGCGAACCATTGCCGATTGTGATGGCGGTTTCTGTGCGGTGCTTTGACGAGCACTTGTCCTCTGGACACATTTGGGTCATGATAGGCACCAATTGTCACCACAGTGGAGCACGTCGCCTCTAGCGTCCGAAGTGGCCGCGATCTTCGACAGCAATAACCTTTTTAGGACATTACTGCTCTACACAGTAGACGTTGATAAATTCATGGTTATTTTTTCCGTGGCT